GCAAATGTTCTGTGGGGGTGGTTGCAGCAATGGAAGCAGAGTAAATGGCAGTGCAGAGATAATCCCATCTGGGCTGCTTTATTGTGGCAAGATATTGCTGTCCAGGTGGAGAACCTGGTTGTGAAGGTACATCATGTAGATCTTTGTGTACCAAAAAGTCAGGCCAACAAAGAACATCAGAACAACCAGCAGGTGGATCGGGCTTTTAGGATTGAAGCAGCTCAGGTGGATTTGGATTGGCAACACAAAGGTGCAATATTTGTAATTGGGTGGGCCCATGACACCTCAGGCCATCAAGGAAGAGATGCAACAGATAGATGGGCTCATGACTGAGGGGTGGATCTAACCATGGACACTATCATCCAGGTTATTCATAACTGTGAAACGTACCTTGTATTTAAGCAAGCCAAGTGGTTAAAGCCTCTCTGGTATGGAGGACCATGGCTGAAATATAAATACGGGGAGACCTGGAAACACCTATCTCTGCCACTCCAGATTTGAGGATGTGAATCTGACTCCCCTTTGATCACCACATTAATGAAGAATGAACTGTGATGAAACTGGACAAGTGTAGCAGTGATGGAATCTGAACTGGCTTTTACATGTGACAACACCATACACCATCTTTCCTGCCCTGAAAGACTGTCATGACAGACGGAACCCAAGGACATGGACAAAATTAACTCGATGGACTTTTATAGAGATGGTCCACAGACTAAGGGAACAATATCTGTGTGTGTATATCTCTCAAAAGGCAGGAAACGTGTGTTGGAAAGTTTGGGACCTGGCATGACATAAATGGTGTGGAATAAGGGCTGGATACAGTCCTGGTTTCAGGTGGGACAAAGTTAATAGTTAATTTTCTTCTTAGTAGTTGGTACAGTGCTGTGTTTTGGATTCAGTATGAGACTAATGTTGATAACCCACTGATGTTTTGGTTGTTGCTAAGTCAAGGCCTTCTCAGTGTGTCATGCTCTGCCAGTGAGGAGTTGTACAATAAACCATGGGGGAGCATAGCCAGGACAGCTGCCCCGAACTGGCCAAAGGGGTATTCCATAATACCATAGAACATCATGCTCAGTATATAAACTGGGGGGAGTTGGCCATGAGCCACCACTTGCTACTTGGGGACAGGCTGGGCATTGATCAGCAGGTGGGGAGCAATTTTATTATGCATATCTTGTTTTTCTTAGATTTTATTTCTGTCTCCCCTTTTCCTTTTATGATGATTATTATTTTAATTATTTACTTTATTTCAATTATTAAATTGTTCTTATCTCAAGACACAGGTTTTATGTTTTTCTGATTCTCCGCCCCATTCCACTGGGGAGGCAGAGGGAAATGAACAAGTGGCTACATGGTGCTTAGTTGCTAGCTGGGATTAAATTACAACAACAGCTCAGAAGGCTTATTTAATAAGTCTCTAGTAAAATAATACTAGCCCCTTAAAACTGAACAAAGTAAAGGAGCAGTTAATGGAAAATGCTAGGTCTCCACAGTAATACACAAGTCTGATGAAAGCAGATTCTTATACATTTGTTCAGTCTTCACATTTCATGTGGACCAACGCATTTGCTTTGAACTTCCAAATCCAGTAATTTTAATCAAACCTTTAGAATATTACTTTTAAATTAAAGGGGTTTTTTTAGGCTCTGTTAAAAAAAAAAAAAAATTATAGAGAGAACAGGAGAGGAGGAGAAGCATAGACTCTTCCCAAGTCTGAAGTTGAAGCAGCAGAATTAAGAAAAGTTTAATACTAACACTCATGTCTGCCTGTTTTCTTAAAATAAATAGACAAGCCATGTACACAAAAAAAAAATTTAAGACTGTCACTTTTTTAGTCAATCTTTAATCACCACTTTAGTGAGTCATTATTTAGCACTCTAATAATTCAAAAAAATGCAACTAATAAAAAAGCAACTGCAAACTTTCCAGAATATATAAACAGCTACAAATTTAGTTTTGCTGTCAGTGTCCCCCTGTATTAAGCTCAACAGACATAAAACTGCCATAATTTTTTTTCCTCTTGGGTAGTAAGAGTTCATGGTTTCAGAAAACATTGTGAAAACTCAGGTTCATAGATAGCTTCTTTGATCACTACCATTGGTCTACCCTGGCCTCCAATCGGGAGGCCTGGAGACACACCATCTATAAAGCTGCTGCTGCTTTTGAGAACACACGCAGGATCACTCTCGAGGAGAAAAGACAACGCAGAAAGAATCGTGTCTCATCGATATCACCTGGGGAGTCTTTCTGCTGTGCCTTCTGCAACCGGACTTGTCTATCTCGCATTGGCCTTTTTAGCCATCAGCGTGCTTGTAGCAAGCGTGGGTAGAGCCCTTCTCAAATCTTCGTTCGCGAAGCCTAGCCATGATGAGATAGCTTCTCAACTGTAGTATTTACTTAAATACAGAATTGAAGTTAGAGCTGTGCCTCCTCAAACTAGGGGGAAAGTAGCTGCCTCCACATATTGTCAGACAAGTTTATTAAGCTGTTTTATATTGAAGACAGTATAGTAGAAGACCCCATACTAACATGCTCAGATCCTGCAATAGGACTTACCCACAAATGAAGCCTTCTTGAATTTGAAATAAAAATAAATACCCATGCAGAGACATTTTTTAGGAGTTTAATTTTAAACACAATTGAAAGTATATTTCTCTTATAATTAAAAAAAGATCCCTTTTATACAGTGCTTTTAGTTTCCAATATTATTTTAATTCCACTTTTCAACATATAAAAATAAACCTAAGATACAGGCTGACAACTTTTTTCCTGTTTACATAATAGCAAACAAAATTTTTAGATTCTCTTTAGGTAATAATACTAACAATATCTACAAATTTCAACTGTCCACACTCCATTCTTTGGTGAGAAAGCTATGTCTCTCTGAAGTGAGCCCCTACTGATTTACATTATTTTTGCTCTTTACAAATCCCACCATTTGTTTCCCTAAGTCCAATTCTCACTTTTAAAATTATGACAACACCAAAGGCCATAATCCATTGCTATAAAACTGAAAGTATCACCAAGTGGCAGATGGGACCCATAATATGCCCCATTTTCAATACTTTGTTGATCAGAATTCACATCTTTAAAACTATTTGGTTTACCATTATAATGCAATTTTCAAACTAACAACAAAAAATTCTTTAGTAGCTAACATAAGACTGTGATGCATTCTTCAGACCTAAAAGTAGAAGCTACAGGCATCACTATGACATTACTCCTTACAACTGTCATACACATGAATCAAAAAATAACCGGTCACAGTGACAGACACAATAAGTATGCAGTATAAAAGAATTTTTATCATACAAAGCAGTCTTTACTTATTATGTCTTCCTTGGACCAAAAGAAAAAAAATCACAGAAATCCTTAAATGTAAAAACTATTACAAAATACCAGTTCAAGCTAAGGGCAACACAGATAAGCCAACACATAACAAAAAGAGATTTACAGTTTCAAATTAATTTCAGGTATTGCCTTAGATGTACCTGATCTGGAGAACACTAGCAAGCAATACGAGCATGCTTCAGACAGTTTACCTTCTTAGTAGCAAAGTAAATGCACACAAATGGTCAGCTCATTTCAGAGTCCAAGCTGTATGTAGCCATTGCTAGCCAGATAATTTAAAGATACTTCAGATCTGAAATTACAATCAAAACAATTAGCAGGCAACTACTGAGTAGGCATAACTCATGTCTCATCAATTTCTCAGGCATTGTTCAGATATTTCTAGTTTACAACTTAGGTGCTTTTTTCCCCTCTCAGTTCTAAGTCTGAAATCTGAAAACCAAGATTTTTTTAACACCATACTACTAACTGTTTACAAACAGAAATTCATCCTTCACATCTGGGTTTGCCATTTACTTCAATGAATTTATCTAAGCCATAGCCACCTCTGTTTTGGGCTTGGAATCCTGCTTCATCCACCAGCAATTGTCTGTTCTGGAAATGCCATGGTGAAATAACTGTGGTCACTAATGGAAACTTCCACATAAGTTCTTTACAATAATCTTAGTAAAATGGCACCATATCATCAGTTTTCAGAGCAATTATGAATCATGGCATCTTCAAATAAAAGTTGATTCATATAAAATTACATTTGAAAAAATACAACTATCATGAACTACACTGTTCTCAAAACCTCCACTCAATTTCATCTCATTTATAAAAGTGCAAAAGCAAATAACCTAATCTGGCAAGACAGCATGCAAACCTAATGATGAAGGCAATGAACTTTCATTGGAAGATGTACACATTTAATGGATGATGCACACAATCCTGGTGGAGCAAGCAGGAACTTCATTACTGTGCTATGCTACTGGTTTAAAAATTAACTACCCTCTGCAGAGATAGGCATTTTACAGAATACTTCTCTAGTGGTGGCTTTTTAGGAAGAGGGAAACTAAGTCACCCAATACTAATAGATATAAAAACTTATGAGATCTGCATAGTATTTTCAAAGTAAAATTAGAAAATACAGTATTTGTAAGAAAATATGACTTGGGGTGGGGAGTGAATTTATGTGCTTGGTGGATTTGCTTTTGTTTACCTTTTTTATTAAAAAAACAAAACAAAACAAAACAAACCCAAAACTTTTTGTAAGGGAACCATTAATTCACATACAATATAACAATGTGCTGCATATTGACTTACACATGTGATACATTAACTATTATGGCTTCCATCCTTAACTATTAATTTTCTAAGGCATGTTTCTTAGCTAACTGTACACAATCCTTTACATATTCTGTAACTGCTATATAATAGAGCTATTCAATTTCAGAATAACAAAACTCAGGAAATCAAACTAATCTCACCTAAAATGTGATATGTTGAAAGAATTCTAATTTCTCCCAAATGAGAAACTTAGCTTTTCAAAGATATTATAAATAATACATGTATATTTACATTTGTATCCCCATTTCAAATCAAAGAAGCTGCCTGAATAAGACCAGATCAACTGAAAGTATGTAAGAGCAAAATCTTCACTCTAAATTTTATTTAATTTTATTAGTGAAATGGTACCGAGGATAACAAGTATACAAAGAATTTCTTTGCTCTATGCTACTCACACATCATAAATAAAACAGCTGTTGTTGTAAGACACAATCCTTCACAGTCTTTCTCTAAGCATACAGATTTGTCATTCTTTTATCAGAATAAGTTGCTTACTAGTCAATAGCAAGTAGTTTAAACATCTCAAAAATGAGTGTCTATACTTTACATGGTAAAGCATTTTCTAAAGTCTTAAATGTACACAGTCTCATGAAGATAAAATCCTATAAAAAAGTCATTAAGCATCTTACAGTCAAGTTGGGTTATTTTTCATTCCCTGTAATATGCCTTTTTTTTGTAGTAAGAATTACCTATGCAAAGGAAAATAAAACCAAATTGAAAGCAAATAGCTAATGTGATATTAATTACTTTTAACTGAAAGACATAATTTGATTGTATTGTTTTAAAAATAATCTACTTGATTTTACGTATAAATTTTAAAGGTATGACTCAAGAAGCCTCACACTGATGAAACTGATTAGTTACACAAGCCATGTTTTAGCTTGACAAAAATATCTACTTTGTTGTTCTCTTCTTACATGCTTTGTCTTTAAAGAATGAAAACAGAATCTCTACCATATAACTCCTTTGTAAATTAGAACTTTTCTCTCAATTATTTATCCCCTCAGTTTTGCATATGATTCCTTTTATATTACCAAATAGGTATCAGAGATGATGATGGAGAGGTAACAATTAAGGCCATTCAAGTGTAAATTAAATGTCTAAAGGGCTGTCTTTTCGATGCAGGTGATCAGAAAATACTTTGCATTCAGCTACTGCTTTTGTACAGTAGTGGTCCCCCAAATGCATCTTTGCTTTCACCTATAAATCTCTTCTAAAAATAAAAAAAGTAAAAATTGAGTTTTAGTATTTTAACAAGTTCTGATAAATAACTTTTGTTCTTGTCTACAGTATTGTGATGGCAAATACCAAGAGAGATAATGTAAGATTTAGATGAAAATGAGTAATAGCACAAACACTTCTAGAAAGTAACACATTATTTCAAGAAGGCACTAAAGCTTCTGCTCCCGCTCTCATATTTTTTTAACAAATAAGAAAAAAATTATTTTCATAATGGCACCTGTAGTATTTTCAGCTGAACAGACACACTGCATTACAGCTCAAAACAAAACTGTAAGTTCTAACATCATACAGATGTGGTCACTTCTGGATGGACAAAAATAAACAAAAAAGCAAAACAAACCCAAAATAACCCAATAAGCTAACCTAATATCTATAACATGGCAATGTTCCTTTTTGGAACACAAAAGTATCATGCATTGTTCAAGTACTTTAAAAGAAACATTCATTTTAAGGATAACAGTAAGATTTTTTTTAAAATAAACCCCAAGAATCTCAAGTAGTAAGCAAATGAAAAACAAACCAGTCAGTGGGCATTTTATGTAAGAACCAGAAAAGTGTTTATGTTTAAAAATAATTTTTCTTTACAACTGTCTTGGTTTGAGACAATTTGGAGGGGCGGAGACCTCAGGCAGACATCTCCCTTGGATTCAATACCCCTGGTTTCTCCAATACAGAGAGAGAGACACCAAGTACATGCAGATGTAAGTGAAAAAAATAACTCTTTACCAAGAAGAATGCTAATAACAATACTGATAACTGGGTTAAACCAACCGATGAGGACGAACTTCCCAAGCCCTACCCACCAGACCAAATCAAGATGGTGGACAGCCTCCTCCACCTGGAAAAAATCCACACATGGCCACAGGACAGAGACAAGATGGTCACCCTTCCACGTGGTTCACCTCCCCCACACCCAGAAAACCTGGCAGGAACCATTGGAGAGTCAGCGCTGGAGTGAGGCTGTGGTGCTGGTACAGGCAGTCAAAGCAGGGCTGTGGACCCCCCAGGAGACTGGAAGAACCCGCAAGACACCCATGGGACCCAGTGATGAGACTTGGTTGTTGCAATTTCAAAGTTCATTGGTCAAAGTGAGGGTCACAGTCCAGATCTGTTGAGGTGGTGGTGGAAGCCCCAGGTGGTAAGGAAAGTTCCAGGCAGTGAGGGAAGAAAACACCATGTTGAATGAAGTCGGAGTGTGGTCTTTTATTTGGCTTAGGCTAAGTGGGAATGCCCCTGGGACAGGGAATTCTACACTGGATGATGTAATACTGAATTTCATGAGTCTTTGACACCTTTTAAGACATTACAACTGCCTGTTATGTCAGCACAGGTGGATCCATTATGGTCTATCAGCAGAAATTAATATCTTCAGGCTATGTGTGAATTGTCTTGATGCTTCCCTGGAGGGGAGTTATCACAGCTGAGTCATTTGTGTAAGGACAAAGAAACAACACCCAACTTGTAGCCTGAGGTGGCAGGTGTGCACCCCCTCAGCACCTGGGTGGTTACTTTGCGCATCATCACCTTGCACCTGGATTGTCTGAGTCATCAGCATTCCAGTCTTTCACACTTGTGGATACATTCTTCTCCTAGGATAATAGTACCACCCTTATCTCAAGTTCCCATCATAGTCCAAATTAGTAGGCACATTTGGGAAAAAGAGAAGAGGTGGAAAAAGGTGGATACCATAATTTTTGTGTAACCCGGGACAACAACTAAAGAAAGTGTGTATATTTACGCACCATTTCCAAGTATATCAAACAGTACACATTGAAGGTTTTGTGGATTTTTTAACCATAAAAGTAAACCAATACAAAATTCATCAACAAGCAGTATTTTAAACAATCTTCAATGCATATATTCAGCTTTTTTGGGGGGATAGTACAGGTTTACATTTTTCAGTTTCTACTTATTTGTAACAACTTATGGTAAAACTTAACATAAATCATTTTACAAATAAGTACAGCCATCTTGGAGACTTCATGGATCTTCAGACATGAATAGTTCTGATGGCATCTACCTTTTCATGGTATAACTACTGGTTCATGCTCTCTTGCTTTACAGCAAGAAGTCGACAAAGCTATCACTACAATTGGGAGAGCTACTAGTACTATCACCATGTTCAGGTTGATTACTTTAACATTTTCTTCCTTGTTCTGGAAAATAAAAAGCTTCAGATTTCATCCCTTAGTTGAGTCAGAGGTCCATTCTTTGCTTTAAAACTCTTCCATTTTAATTGAGAGGTTTTCATCATTTGGTTGACAGTTCCCATTCTGTTGTAGTTTGATTTCATCAGTCCTTTCTGGATCTCTATTGCCTACTTCCTCGTCACTTTCTGAATTCAGATCCTCTTCAGTATGATCTTTGTCCTACGAAAGATAAAGTTATTTAAAAAAACAAAATCACTCTCTTAGCATTACAGGATATGACTTCCAACCAACTACTGGTATTTTGATTGTCTCGATCTTTACACACCTTGTTTCAGCAATGTTCAGAATAGAGGTGTCAGCTTTTTTAAAAAAAAATTAAAGTCAAATAATCTTTAATTTAAAAAAGTTTTTCTTTTTAATTGGCTGAAGTTAGGCACTCATAATAACCTGTCATCCAAGAAATCATTGCCATAAAGTCATCTGTCTTTATGATCAATATTCAGATAATTCAGAACAAGCAGCATCATGGCACATATGAAAAACAGCTCCAGAAATTAGGACTTCAACATATTTTTAAAACAAAACAGAATTACAATTTTTCTTTTTTATTTTTTTGTCAGGTAACTGATAAATTCTAAGAGAGTTGTTGAGTTACTTAAGCACGTGGACAAAGTCACCTAAATCAGCTGTTTTATAACAGTTGAATAATTCTGAGTACCACAAACTACTCTTTAGAAGCATGCTGCCTTTCAAATTCTAAGATTGAACATTTGAAAATGTTTGTTTTCTTAATTACACCTTTTTCTATTTTGCAAGGGAAAAATCGCATACTCTTTCTACAAATCTTCAACCTTATTCCTGCTGTCAGATATGGAGTCCAGGACCAAAGCAACCAGGGAGAGGCTGAACTTTAGAGTGAAATTTTATTAAAAATCTTTTCAGATTGACAACCTGTGCTGGTTTTGGCTGGGATAGAGTTAATTTTATTCATAGTAATTAAAAGCTGAGGGAAGAAGAAGGAAAGGGGGACATTCCTAGTAGTGGTGTGTCTTCCCAAGTAACCACTATGCATGATGGAGCCCTGCTGTCCTGGGGATGGCTGACCACCTACCTGATGATGGAACGTGGTGAATGAATTCCTTGGTTTGCTTTGCTTGCATGTGTGGAATTTGCCTTACCTAATAAACTGCCTTTATCTCAACCCACAAGTTTTCTTCCTTTTAGTCTTCTGATTTTCTCCCTCATCCCATCAGGGAGGAGAGAGCAAGCAAACAGCTGTGTGGTGCTTAGTTGTTGGCCAGGGTTAAACCGCAACACAGGCAAGCTAACCCTGAACCTTGATGCTTAGTTGTACAATCTCTTTTATGCCTGCTCATACAGATAGGTAGCCAGTCAACTCCTAACATATGGCACAGAACAGAAAAGAGAAACCAAAACAAAGTGTTTCAGTAACCTATTCACACAGGCTCTACCAAATGGCAATACTTTGATAAGCAAAACAGGGTGAGGCAAAGAGAGATAAAGAAGGGAGAAAATTCCAATAATTGTTCCATTTGCAGCACTCTGCTTATCACTTGGTCACACAGCTTACCTTCAAAGTAGTGGTGCTTTTGTCAGATTTCTCCTTTCCCTCTTTTTCTTTACTAATTTTTTTCTTTGAGGTGGAGTATTCCCTATCTCTTCTTTCATTATTTTTATCTTTTTCTCTTTTTTTTTCTTTCTTGTTTCTGTTTAAGAAAATTTTTACTCAAATCAGAATTTGATCCAACAGCAACAAATTGACTACCAATGCATACTCTGACTGTACTGTACAGTAAATTGCACAAAAAATACAGAAGTTGGTATCCTGGTTTGCTTTCTTTCAGAAAGGTTTAGTCACTTTCAAACATAACAAAAACCTCTTCATAAAGACAAGGGAAGGTAGCTAAAGAATGCATGTGTTCAGTGTACATGGCATTTGAAAAGAGAAAACCAAATTAATCTGTATCCAATCAAGGGTTTTTATTGATTTGAAGCAAATTTGCATTGCTGGCAGATTTAAAACTCTCCAGTTGAAAGCATACCAAAGATCAAATCCATAAAGGGCTTTTTGGTCTGTTTTAAATTAGAACTGAATCATACTGACCAATTGAAATTATCTGAGATGACTAATGAAAAGGCAGTAAATCAATGAAAATACTTCCTAAACTGTTTTCAATGTATCTGCATCCACCTTTGAGTGTTCTGCTTGTTGAAAGAGATCTTTTCCTTAGAAAATTATTACTAGAGATTCTTCCATAACAAAAAAAATACTAAAAAAACCCAAGAAGAAACAGAAATTGAGTTAGCTCCTTACATAACACTGATCTCTATATCATATTTCAATTTAACAGAAATACTATAACTTTTTCCTCCTTTACTGCCCATTAATGTTTATGTCAAACTGACCAAACTGACCTTCTTGGAGAAGGAGTTTGTGAAGACTTTTTTTTTGTTGTTTTAGGAGACTTGGAGAGACTTCTACTCTTCCTTTTACGCCTTTCTCTGGAGGACCAAGAAATTCAAGATCATCAAAGAAGAAAAATAATAAACTCAGGAACTGCATAAAACCAGAAGGCTCTTAAAATTATCTGACACAACTAAGTAAATATCCCTGAATTTAACATAATATATGACCAATAATATATGAACTGTACAAAGCAAAAAAAAATTCATATGTTTCAGTTTGATGTGGAAGAATGGAAGTGGGAAGTAGGAAAAAAAAGTTGTGCCCTTCCTTTCAGATTTTAGTTTTATGCTTATCCTGTCATAGGTTTACTTGTTCTAAAAACCAAGCAGGGAATTTTTCTTTTCCCTGCATCATTGTGAAAGAAAGATGTTGAATGGGGGAGGGTAGTTTGCCTTGGGTGATTAACCCACACAAAAGAACAAGCCAGCAGACCCACATTCCAAGCTGATGGCCCTCAGAAGACTGTGGGGAGGGGTGGGGAGTTGTTTTTTTATCTCTCCTCGGAAACAGGTGGCACAGCACTTTTGCCCTGACTCAGGGAGGGGGTGTGTGTGTGGAAAGGCTCTGGGTTCGCTTGTTTTCGGCCAGGTCAACTGGCTGCTTCTGGTCCCGGTTTACCTCCCTTATCCTATGCCCTGTTCTGCCCCCAGCCCGGACTTGCTCATATTTCAGATTTCATCCCTTAGTTGACCCTTCTGCAAAGGAACCTTTGGGAGAGTCCCGGCTGTAGTCAGCTGCCAACAGCATGAGTTCACGGGAAGAACCTCATTTTCCCCTTTCCCCCTTCCCCTTCTCAGTGGGGAGGGAGATCTCCGTTTTTGGCTTCTTCTGTGCACTGGGGCCCCCACGTAACCACTGCCAGACCCAACAGCGCCCCCTGCTGATCGGCACCTAGCAACTGCAGGCTCTGCACCTCCAGAGATCCAACAGCGCCCCCTCCCAATCGTGGTTAGAATTGCGCCAAAAGGCAGAAAGTACTGAACTGTTTCCTTTTGAAGGGGACTTTTGGGTACAGGTTTATTATTTAGTTGTTTTTGTGTTCTTTTGTTGTTCTGCCTATACACATATATCCTTTAATAAAGGGCTGTTATCTTTTCTTTCTCCACACTTCCTTAATTGGAGTCTCTTAATTTCGGATTTACAATTGCTTAAAGGGAGGAACTTGGTCTTCCTCATAACTTATCCTCCTTAGCAAAACACTTCAATCTCATTAAACTGAGATATCCTCATATGCTTGTACTTATATGTGATAACAATGGAAACACACTGAATTCACTAATCCTGTATTAAGAGTTTCTTCAGTCAGGAAAATAATCCAATTGAATGAAAAGCCATATTAAGACAAAGGCATAAACTTGAGCAATACAAACTTCAAAAATTAACATTGCAAGCTTAAGATCACTGGAATTTCAGTTCAACATGACTGAAAATTAATTCCTTGAATACATAAGCTAACATTTGTGTCGTGGTTTTGCCCACCAGCCCATCCCTGGGGCTGAGGATGGTTTTGTCCAGGTGATTTCCGGACAAAAAACCAATCAAAAAGTTCAGTGACGCCTTTGCTAATTACATCTTTAAGAAAACGGAAGAGAAAGTTGATGGCGCAGTTGAAAAATTAGGAACAGCAGCCATGTAGAAGGGTAACGGGCCCGAGGAGGGCCAAGGCCCCCTCCTCCCCCGGCTTGGGCCGGGGGGGGGGGGCAGGTGCAGCACTGAAACCTCTCTTCTCTCTTGTGAGAGAGTGAAGGAAAAAAGTTTAAAAGATGAACTGTTTAGACGAGAAACCGCTGCAGAAGAATTCCAGCCATGAGATAACAGAATTTTCAAGGTCAAAGCTGCAGTTGCAGGAGAGAGAAGAAAAGTTCAAAGGGGGGAGAGCTGCTTTTTTCTCCCTTTTGCTCTCCCTCCCTTCAGCAGGGTAAAGACTGAAAAATAAAATCCCTGCCACCTGTAAAAATTTGTTGGGGTGAAGAGACCCCCCATGCGGCTCACAGAGGAGCTTGTGAATGCACCAGAGATTTGTGACTTTAACAGAGAGAAAGCCTTATGCTGGAGTAAAAGCGGCTCAGATGAGGCAAAATCCTGTTGAAGATTTATGACCCTGAGGGGGATGATGACCTACGCTGGAACAGAGAAACAGTTCGGGTAGGGATGTTGGGATCCATGTGTGGGATCCATGCTGCTGGTGCTGGAGATTTGTGATCCTGAGAGAACCTACGCTGGAGCAGAAAAACGGCTCGGGTAGGGATGTTGAAGATTTATGACCCTGAGGGGAATGAGAGAACCTACGCTGGAGCAGAAAACGGCTCAGGTGGGATATTGGGATCTGAGTAAGGGATCCAGACTAGACCCATGCCGAGAAGTCAATCAAGGATTGTTCTCCCATGGGGAGGGACCTCCATAGGGAAACAGGGGTGAACTCTTAAACTATTATCCCCTGTAACCCTGTGGAAGAAGATCCATAGTAAGCAAGTGTCCCCTTGCAAGCCTATGGAAGGAAACCCTTCAGGACCTGAGTAACCCCCAGCCTTCGGTTTTAACCCAGGAGGGGGGTAAGCCCAGCCCTGAAGGCTGACACAGAGAAAGATAAAGAAGTTCCAACTGCGACAAAAGTGCTACAGAGTTACTGGAGAGAGAGAGAGCTGAAATTCCAAGAACAAAAAAAGACTGCTTCTCCTCCTTGGACTGATATAAAGGGAAGTGGGGGGAGAAGTATCTTTTGTAAATACATAATACCTTTTACTTAAGTAAAATTATTGTAGATATAATTCTTTAGTTTTAGTTTAATAATAATAATAAATACTCATACTTTTTTTTTTTTCAATTCAGTCTCTTTTTGTCTGCATAAACCTTCTCTCAACTGATAGTAATTGTATGGGAGGTATAAAAGTAAATTGAGCCAGGGCAAAACCACGACAATTTGTATTGGTTTAGTAGCAAGCAGTGCAAAATGAATCTCAAGCTGTTGTCAAAATCAAAATGAAAAAGCTAATATCTGTTGTTTTTCTAGCAGCCCATGCTCAGCAAACCTTCGTATAGCTCTATAACGCACTGAAGAGCTCTAAGTATTTTACAAAACAGCTGTTTCAAACAGATGCATGAAATTTACTGAACTTCTCAACAAAGAGGGGCAGCTTACTGCAACATGCTGGGCCCTGGCCACTGCCTAACAAACACTGCTCGGTATGGTACAGCACCTTTGGTAGGAATGGAAAGGAAACAAAATAACAGACACCATGGCCACTCGGATTGTAGTTAAGCTAGAAGGGCAACCCAAACCAGAAGAAGTTACCCCTGTCCAAAAGAGGAAGTACAAGACCAAATCAGTTCATTTTCTCCACTGATGGTTCCTGACATATCATAGGGATACATCAAAAATGAAAGGTGTTGAATGGAGTCCTATGCACAGAAGCTATTGAAGAACAAGATGGATCAAGTCAGGTTGCAGAGCTGAAAGCCATCCAGATGGCTTTTGATATTGCTGAATGAAATGGCCAGCTTTCTATGTCTACACTGACTCGTGGATGGTAGCAAATGCTCTGTGGGGTTGGCTAGAACAATGGAAAAAGACCAATTGGCAGTGCAGAGAGAAACCCATCTGGGCTGCTGAATTGTGGCAAGGCATTGCTGCCCAGGTAGAAGTTGGCTGTAAAATTATGTCATGTAGATGCATACGTACCCAAGAGTCAGGCTACTGAAGAACATCACAACAATGGAAAGGTGCATCGGGCTGCCAAGGTTAAAGTGTCTCAGATGGTTCTGGACTGGCAACATAAGGGTGAATTATTTCTGGCTCAATGGGCCCATGATGCCTTAGGTTATCAGGGAAGAGATGCAACATACAGATGGGCTCATGATTGAGGGGTGGACTTAAACATGGACACTATCTCCCAGGTTATCCAGAACTGTGAAATGTGCTGCGATCAAGCAGGCCAAGCAGGTAAAGCCTCTGTGGTATGGTGGGTGATGGTCGAAATATAAATGTGGAGAGGTCTGGCAGATCAATTACATCACACTCCTGCAGACCCACCAAGGCAAACACTATGTGCTGACAATGGTGGGAACAACCACTGGATGGCTGGAGACATACCCTGAGCCTCATGTCACTGCCCAGAACACCATCTGTGGCCTTTAAAAGCAAGTCCTGTGGTGACTTGGCACCCCAGAAAGAATTGAGTTGGACAACAGAACTCATTTCAAAAATAGCGGCATAGACACCTGGGTCAGAGAGCACGGTATTGAGCGGGTGTATCATATTCCCTGTCATGCACCAGCGTCTGTGAAAATTGAATGGTACAATGGACTGTTAAAAACCACATTAAAAGCAATGGGTGGTGGAACCTTTAAACATTGGGATTTACATTTAGCAGAGACCACCTGGTTAGTTAACACTAGAGGTTATACCAATTGAGCTGCCCTGCCCAATCAAAACCTCCACATACCATAGAAGGGGATAAAGTCCCTATGGTGCATATGAGGAATGTGTTGGGAAAGAGTTTGGATTCATCCTGCCTCAAGCAAAGGTAATCCCATCTGTGGGATTGTTTTTGCTCAAGGACCTGGGTGTACTTGGTGAGTAATGCAGAGGGACGGTTAAACACGATGTGTACCTCAAGGGGATTTGATTTTTGGGTGAGAACAGTGATGTTGAATTGTATAATATTGGTTGCTGAATGACACTGTCACTGTATGCCATAACTACCATGAACAATGAATATGGACTGCTCTAGATACACCAGTCGTGAGGTCCTGATGCAGCTTGCAACCAGCTGACAGTACAGTAGCCCTCCTGCCCTGGAAGACATCTAGGACAGATAGAACCCACAGTAATGGAGTAAATGACCTCAACAGACATCTTGGAGGGACAACCATTAACTATGGAAATGATACCTGTGTTTGTATATATGTGTATATATATATATATTATATATATATGTAGGAGCCCCTGGTGGTCTAGTGGTAAAGGCGCGGCGCTGTCACCGCCGAGACCCGGGTTCGATTCCCGGTCAGGGCCACTCCCGGGCAGGTGGAGCTC